GACTTCAGAGACTCTCACAATAGGTTCGTTGTTTACAATAATGGCAGGGTGGCTTAGTGTGATCTTTTTTATTTGATTTGGCGATCCTAGAATAAGGTACTGCGACTTTTTTGGATTGAGAACCAATGCGTTACGCTCTGACCACAAAGATATCCGACCCAAATCCAAGTTCAATTTTGTCACTGCTACTTGAACATCACAAGGCTTAAACGATATATATATCTGTAAGTCGTCAGCGTACATGTGGTACTTACAATACTCTATATTTTTAATAATGTCTGCACTATATATTATAAAAAGTAAGGGACCTAAAATGGATCCTTGCGGTACTCCTCGGTTCACAGGTCGCTCCCCAGAAATAGTTTTACCTTTTCCATTTAATTGTATTTCAACTTGCTGTGACCTATTTTTAAAGTAACTGGCAAACCATTGGGTTGCGTTTCTGCTTAAACCATAAAAATATAATTTTGAAAGAAGTAATGGGATATTGAGGGTTTCAAAGGCGCGCGAGAAATCAAGTAATGTTAAAATAGTACCCTCACCACTGGCTTGTGCAGTCAGTATATCATCCACGACCTCTATAAGCGCTGTGGTAGTGCTGTGCTTCTTTCTAAAGCCTTTCTTTCTTCAGCTCAGGAAGGATGTTATTTGCTTTAAGGTACTTTGTTAGCTGATTACATGCAAGCTTTTCTATTATTTTAGAAAGGCATGGTAGAATACTAATTGGCCTGAGATCTGACATAGAAACAGGGTTACTAGTTTTTGGTATAGGTTTAACGATGGCTTTTTTCCAGACATCCGGATAGGTATTTGTCGCAAAAGATTTATTAATTATGTATGTTATTTCTGTAATAACATCTTTAGGTAATAACTTTAACATATCAAGAGAAATGCCATCGCACCCCACTGCATTAGACTGCAAAGAGTTTATAACTTTAACAACCTCATCCTCCGAGGCTTCTTTGAAATAAAAAGAGTTATCATTAGTGCCATTAAATTCAAAGAAAGTGAGAAGAGACAATGAGACTTCATTTTTACCAGGAATATTAAGAAAGTGATTGTTTAAAGCATCAGGGTCACTGAAATGGGATGGCAAAGAAGTATCCTTACTTTTTATTTGAACATGGTGTTTAATGTGCTTCCACATTATTTTAGGTTGATTTAGTTTTGAATTAATATAAAATTTGAAGTAGGCAATCTTTTCTGAAACTATCGCTTTATTAACTATTGATTTTAGTTCCCTATAATAATCCTTATGTGGAGCAAGTTTTGTTTTCCGGGCTCTCACTTGAGCCTCGTTGCGTGTCCTCATCATACATCTTATGTTATGCGTTATCCATGGATAATACTTTTTTTTATATAGACAGTTTTAGGAGGGGCGTGAAAATTAAAGATATTTAATAATTTTTTGTTAAAAGAATCAATCATATCGTTTATGTTATCTGACGATGCACAGTGCCAGTTAATTTGTTTTACATCTTGGTTGAAAAGGTTTATGTCTATATCCCTTAAAGATCTAAACGTGACGCTTTCAGGCTGAAACTTAGGCTTGGGAATGTCAAGTTCACATACAATAAAGGCATGGCTACTGAGGTCACTAATATAGTCCACACTTATATATGACACCGATGCATCTGAACATATAACATCTAACAGTGTCTCACTATATTCAGTAAAGTGTGTTGGTTCCTCAACATATTGCACGAGGTTATTGCATGTTAGGAAGTCCGAAAGCATTTTGGTACTAACACAATTTTTATTCAAAATGTCGATATTAAAATCCCCAAGCAGCACTGTTTGATCGTAGCCTACAAAAGAACCTAAGGACTCGCTCAGCGCGTCCAGAAATAATGTCACGCTCAACCATGGGGGACGATAAGCAGTACCGAAGACAAGGGACTTGCCGTTAATTTTAATATTTAACCACATCTGCTCCACCGCGGGACAAATAGGATGTTGAATAATTTTTGACGGCAAGCCCCGTCTCAAATAAAAACCGACACCGCCGCCACGCGCACGAACTTCGGGAGGTCGGGGTACGTGAAGCAGTCGATACCCTGGAACAGAAGGCGCCCGGCCTTCCTCCCCTGTCCGAAGCCATGTTTCATTGATAGCCATTATGTCTACAGAGTGATGCGCCATAGCAGCTAGGAATTCGTCGTGCCTAGTACCAAGAGACCCGGGGTTCAAGAAGCCAATTTTCAACTTATTTAATTTAGTCATTTTCAAAGAATTTATAATAATACGAAAACGTTATAAAATTAATAATAACCCAAACAAAACCATAATAGAGGAGACTATGATACCACTGCTTATGTACTGTCAAATACATTTCTATATATGGGCCACAGTTATAAGTTATAAATAAACATAATTGATTGGCATATATATTATCCGACAATATCCTGTCGTCATTTCCCGTTATGCTGCTACACGTTAGAAAGCAAACATTAAACCTGTCACCATATTCACTATAACAAGAGACAAAAAATAAATGTGATAATATTAAAAGTGTAACTACAAAATAACAGTCAAAAAATTTACTCCATACTCCATAAACGTATGCAAAGCAACTTAACAAAAATAAAATGTAACCTAATAATAAAATGTAAATAAAATGTAGTCTAAATAAAAATAAAATGTTCTCGTAATAGCAGCTACGTAGATGCGTAGGGGAAACAATCATTGAGAAATAATTATAATCCAGACGACAGCCAAATTGATATCGTGCAAGAAGTAACATAAAGAACAAGATTAAAATTCGTTTCAAACTATTCAATCCCCAAAAATTTTGTCTGCCGACTTCCAAAAAGGAGCCGGTACTCAATTCGACTGTATGTTTTTTTTTCGTTTTTTTTTTTATGTGTGTTACCTCAGAACTTTTTTCTGGGTGAACCGATTTCGATGATTCTTTTTTTATTTGAAAGCTGGTACTTCTCGTGTGGTCCCATATGAATTTGATCAAGGTCAGACCAATAGTTTTTAAGTTATTCTTAAATAACTTATATTGAAGTCGGCTGTACAAAATTTTTAATTTTAAATTATTTATATCTATTTCTGTTCGAATTCTATAACGGGGTGAGCCAGAATCACGACGCGCAAAAATGCATCCTTCCCGCGTCCACATATATCTCCAGCCTTTGCGGCGCCCTTCTTCCCGTACTTTATAAAATAATTGCCTATTGATTGAGGTGAGCCGCTCATTAACATAAAATCGGCGCGGCTCACCACCTAAGTTCAAATCGGCAGTATCCGCCCCCCGCCGAACGCGCGCTTCGTGAATTAGTTTATCTCGAATCACTCGACGAGCGAGACGGACAACTAACGGACGCGGCCTCCGCTTGTCACCGCTGCCTGGTATTTCCTCACGGCGCATGCCTATACGCCTTGCACTTACAACATCGCGCTCATCCAATTCAGTGCCAATTTTAGCCGCAAGCATAGTGACGAGGTGCAAGGGGTTTTCGCCCTTCTGTTCTATTACACCAGATATTTCCAAATCGTTTAAAAGTAATTCTTGATCACGCTCGTTAAGTCGACACTTTAACTCCGCTACGCTATCTTCGACCTTGGACCCTCCAGGTTGACTCGTCAAGTTAGTTGCCTGCTCCTCAAGACATGCGATCCTTTTCTCGACGTCGCTAACCCTGTTACTTATTTCACTAACATTAGAATTAATGTTAGTGATTTCCTGGCGAAAAGATACCATTTCGCGGGCAATAGTAGTCAACTGCTCGCGTATTAATTTTAGCTCGTTTGCTAAGTCGACATTAGTTTCACAGCGCCCTCTATCGTCGGATCCAAGCTGTGCATCGCCGAACTCTGTGTCCGTGCCGCCCGAGCTACACGAACTAGGCGTAGCAATTGTGTTCACCCCACTCGCACATACAGTTTTTGCCTTACAACCGCTGCATTGCCATTTATTTGATATTCGGCCGTCAATAGGAATACTAGCACATTTGCGATGAAATAAATGAGTGCAACTTGAGCACTTTGTCGAGTCTATTGTAGAAGCAAAACGACCACAGGCGCCGCACTTATTTGCCATTTTTATTGACAAGTACTTTATTTAGATGAAAGTTAGACCAATAGATGTCGCTGTACGAAGTTTGTATTGGTTATGTAATTTGATATGTATAACTATAAGAGTCTTTAATAATTAGCGATTTACTATATACTATTTACCTTGTTTACATTTAACTATTTAAGGTTTGTTAAATAACTTAAATGTTTACAGCAGCAATTTGCAATACGGTTTAATGACAAACAGTTGATCTTGTTACGAACAGCTGATCACTATTTTGCACTGTAACAACCAACGACCACTGTTTTCACTTTATTCTACTAATGTATCTTATAACACTACTAAAATTGTTCTTAAATATACTTGTTTACTTATTTAAAAATGCTGTTTTATATTTAAAATAATTTTTAATACGGAACACAAGCACTTGACAGCCGACCAAGCTACCCTCCCGACCAAGCTCACGTATCATGAGTCTTAATCGCTGATGCTGACTGCTGTTGTATAGTAGGTTGGTTCACTAAGACACTCATGTGAGAATTTAAAATAAGCTTCGTGTTATTATACCGGTGGTTTAAAAGATTCCCAAAATACTTGATAGTTATCTGTGCTTATCTGTAAATGTTGCACTATTTTCTCTGCTTCTCCTTTTAATTTACTTTTCAGAAATTGCATTTTCTGACTGTTCGATAAGGCTCTGTTGCTATGTACAGTTTTGACGAACAAGTCCTTAAACGACAACCACTGGTGGTAGCTCCCATTGAACGTGAGTATGTCCATTTTTGGGGCTGTCTTCTCCCGGTAAAGATTAGACCACATCTTGCTGTTGATGATTTTCTTCATGTTGTTGAACTTTTGCTCATGCTGCAGCTGAATATTTCTTCATTATCTTCGTATAGTTCGCTGTCTATTACCCAGTACAAGGCGTCTATTATCGACCAGCGTCTTCTTCTTCTTCTTCTTCTTCTACCTAGCGTTATCCCGGTTGCTCATCCCGCCCAGCGCGGGAGAACCCAGGGTCCGCTTTCCGACACTTCCTCCTCCACTTTGCCCGGTCTTCGGCGTCCCTCACAACTAGCCCATTGGCGCGCATGTCATCCTGCACGACATCAAGCCAGCGTTTCTTGGGCCGTCCTCTACTCCTGGCACCAGGTAAGGTCATGTCCAGGCATTTGTTTCCCACGTAGCTTGCTGGTCGTCGTAAGACGTGGCCGTACCAGCGGAGGCGACTTTCCTGCAGCTTGTCAGCAATGTCACGGACATGGAGGCTGCCGCGGATGTATGTATTCCGTACACGGTCTTTCCGTGTGACGCCACACATCCACCGCAGCATGTTCATCTCCGTGACATGCAACAACCGCCGGTGTCGCTCCAGCACCGGCCACGCCTCACTGCCGTACGTAAGGACAGGCCTTATGATGGTCTTATAGACCTGTCCCTTCAGCTTGACCGGCATTTTGGGGTCACAAATGACACCCGTCACCTCGCGCCATTTCGCCCAAGCCGCTGATATACGGGCCTTGATGTCGCGATCGATGTCACCGGACGCATCAAGCACAGATCCGAGGTACCTGAAGTTGTCCGTGCGCTCGACGGTGTCGTCGCCTATACGGAGAGACGTCAGATCTGTGCTGTTGCAGGCCATATACTCCGTCTTCGCTACGTTTAGCTTCAGCCCGCCGTTCTCAAGCGCCTCCCTCCATGCGTGCACGCGTCTGGTGAGCCGTCCTTTGTCCCTATCTACCAGTGCGATATCATCAGCGTACATAAGCAGCCAAGGCTGCGGTAGTTTCTGTACGCTGGCTGACAGTTCGTCTAATATCACACTGAAGAGATAGGGGCTTAAGACGGAGCCCTGATGCACGCCTATGGTTATGGGGAAGGGGGTGGTATCACCAACAGCGGTCCTGACTATTGAATCGGAGTTGCGGTACATGTCACGTACGATTTCCACGTAGGTCTCTGGTACCAACTTCGACCGCAACGCCCACCAGATCATCTCCCTAGGAACACAGTCAAAGGCCTTCTGCAGGTCTAGGAATAAAAAATGCAGAGGCATATTCTTTTCCCTGTGCTTCTCCATGAGGATCCTTAGGGCGAATATAGGGTCCATGGTACCGCGTCCTGGTTGGAAACCGTACTGGAAGTCCGACACTGTACACTCCTGTCGGATCCTGGCGTCAATAATGCGCTCGAAGAGCTTCATGGTGTGTGACATCACCTTTATACCGCGGTAATTACCGCAATCCTGAACGGACCCTTTACCCTTGTGGACCGGCGTTATTATACTAAGCCGCCACTGATCGGGCATTATTCGGTCGCTCAGGATTCTATTATAAAGGTTAGTAAGAATGCACACACCACGAGCCCCCAGCGCTTTCCACGCTTCAATTGGCACCTCGTCCGGTCCGACAGCTTTCCGATTCTCCATGTGACGAAGAGATGCGAGGACCTCGTCAGGTGTAATTGGTGGCACGAGTCCAAGGTTCGGGAGTTGTTCGGGAGGGTGCACTTCCCGGTGCTGAGTATTCAGCAAAACGTGGAAATAAGAGCGCCATCTCTCCTTCACCGCACGATCATCGTACAGGAGCTCGCCATTAGGGTCGTTGACGCTGCAGCAGCGAGTAATATCTTGCGCTGCTTTGGCCCTAGAGCGCGCCAGTTTATATATGAGCTTGTGCCCCTCAGGAGTGTCCAACTTAGCATATAATGGTTGCAAGTGGTCACGCCTGGCTCTGGCTACAGCTTTCTTGGCAGCTCTTTTCGCTGTCTTGTAAGATGCGCGATCTTCAGGAGATTTGGTCACTTGCCACGTCTTGAAGAGCGCTTTCTTTTCCCGTAATGAACCCTGGACTGTGGCATCCCACCACCAGGTCTCCTTGTCGATTTTGCGGCCCCCTTTCGCCACGCCGAGAACTTGCTTTGCCGTCTTTGTGATTGCTGTCTGAATGGTTTTCCAGCACTCTTGGACGGACTTGCCTGCTGTGTCGAGACTAATATCCCCAGCGGCAGAGTCAAACTCTGAGTATCTGGTTTGATCCAGCAGCCACCACTTGATTTGACGGCGGCAACGTTCGGCGTGTCTGCGACGGGGTTTTACGCAGAGGTCCATGACAAGAAGTCGGTGTTGGGCAGTGAGACACTCACCGGGTATGACCTTACAGTTGGCCACGCGACCGATATGACTTCTCCTGGTCAGTAGATAGTCGATTTGAGTGGCGTTCCGACCGCTCCTGTAGGTAATCAGGTGCTCGGTTTTCTTTTTGAAGAACGTGTTCACCACGGCCAGGTCAGCTGCAGTGCAGGTTCTGAGAATGGTTTCCCCCTCTGCGTTTCTTCTGCCGTAACCATAGCCGCCGTGGACACGTTCATACTCCCCCTGCACCTCGCCCACATGACCGTTCAGGTCGCCACCCAAAACGACATCGTGGTACAACGGTATGCCGCGTAGTACATCTCCGAGACGATCCCAAAACAGCGTTTTATCCGCGTCGCTGCAGCCGACCTGTGGGGCGTAGGCACTTATTAAGTGGGTCACGACCCCCTCAATAAGCAACCTTACTACCATAAGTCGGTCGCATATGCGTCTAACTTCCAAGACGCTATCGTGGAAACGCTCGGCGAGCACCACTGCCACACCGTTCTCTCCACCAGAGGAGCCTGTATAGATCAGCTTGTAGCCGTGCCCAATATTCCGGCTCCTGTTGGCCTTCCACCGTGTCTCCTGCAGGAATGCCACTGCCACTTTACGCCTGGCAAGTATGGCCGCAAGTTCTGCGGAGCGTCCCGTAAGCGTGCCAATGTTCCAGTTTGCAAAGCGAATCTTCGTAGTTGGTGCTAACGTCTTTAGCCGGGCTCGCACGGGGCCCGGTAGCCCTCGCATACTTGTCGCAGGGTTAAGGCGATCCCCATGCGCGTCGTTATGCGGCGACGCCCTAGCCCTAAACGTATTTATCTTTCCTTTACCGTCCATTTTTGAGTGGCTTAGTGCCAATTACCAGGGCGACTGCCGTCTGACCCCCGAACCCCTAGGACGAATCCCAGAGGAGTGGCATCGCCAGAGCCCTTTCCGTTGTCCAGCAGGTGCGCCACGTGCAGGCGGGGTTGGCTTGGGCTCCAAGATCTTAGCGGAGCCCCTTACACCCCAATTATTATTATCGACCAGCGTGCCTGAACCGAATTCAGAATATCCTCATACTCCCATTTTTCAGAGACTTTGTCGAGATCGATGCTGCTACTAGTCCGTTGAAAAGCTTTGAAGTTGCTTCTCTATTCTCAACATATCCTCTAACTTGCTGCTAGTACCTTGGGCTCGGGATGCTTCTGCGTCAGCTGTAATTCCAGGTACCGCCCCTTCCACATTTCAAAACACCTTGCTTAACGTGGATCTCACAACAATTCTTCGCTGGATGCAGTCGTTCATTATATATAGAAATTATATATATATATATATATATATATATATATATATATATATATATATATATATATATATATTCTGGTTTATTCGAACTTCGTTACCTTTTTCTCTCATTATTAGTTTACTTTTGCTGCACTACCTCCCATATGTTTATCTCTGCTTAGCCTAATGATTGACTGGGAGAGAATGCCCTAAGGCATTAAGGTACGGATAGACGTGCTCAAAAAATAGCATACTGATTAGTTTGCTTAAAACTAGCATGCTCTGCAACTATTCACAATTGCCAGCAATAAGCACGCCTAAAACATACTCATAAGCATGCTCAAAACAAACTTTGGACAGACGTGCTATTTGGCACTAGGCTCTCGGCCAAAATGGATGTACAAAGATATAGTGACAGTGCTATCCCTACAGAACTCAATAAAATTTATTTTAAATTGACGCATCAAATGTCGCGAATCGAGATCGATTCGATAATATAATAATAATAATAAAGGTTTATTCATAAACACGGTCTTACAAATATATATACCATGGTAGACTTCTTCTATTGAACGCATAATGCGCCCGTATCATAATAGTATGCTCATAAGCAAACCAACGCGCTCGGAGCACCCGCGCCTCAGGTAGTATGCTCGAAAATCACCTGTACTAATGGGTGTCCCTCAGGGCTCGATTCTCGGCCCATTCCTGTTTCTGGTGTATATTAATGACTTACCTTCCCTTGTAGGGGATAGTCATGATATAGTGTTATTTGCTGATGATACTTCCTTGATTTTTAAACTTAAACGTCAATCATTTAAATGTGACGAAGTGAATAATGCTATATTAAAATTAGTGCATTGGTTTAACGTTAATAATCTACATTTGAACGGAGATAAAACTAATTGTGTTAAATTTACAACGAATGTTAAAAATCTGAATACCAATGTGTTTTTAAATGGGGAGGAACTGAGCCCTGTTGTATCCACTGTTTTTCTTGGCATCACTCTCGACGCAAAGCTTCAGTGTGGCCCCCATATATCCAAATTAGCAAGCAGACTAAGTTCTGCAGCCTATGCTGTAAAAAAGGTTAGAGGTCTCACTAGTGTCGAGACAGCTAGATTAGTTTATTTCAGTTATTTCCATAGCATAATGTCTTATGGGATTTTGCTATGGGGAAAGGCGGCTGATTCAGAAACTATTTTTGTTTTACAGAAGGCCTCCATTAGAGCTATTTACAATCTAAAACCGAGAGAGTCTCTTAGAGATAAATTTAAAGAAATAAATATATTAACGTTGGCCTCTCAGTATATTTACGAAAATTTAATGTATGTTCACAAAAACAAAGGTAGTTTTAGTAAAAATAAGTGATATTCATTCTGTAAATACTAGGAACAAACACAAGCTAGTGATACCAGTTTCTCGACTTCACGGAGTCTGTAATTCATTCTTGGGGCAATGTATACGCTATTACAACAAGGTCCGGAAAGTGTACAGGCTCTCTCTATTACCAAGTTTAAATATTTTGCTAAGCTGAAATTGTATAAAAAGGGTTATTATAGTATAAACGAATACATGGTTGATAATAACCCCTGGGAATGAGGTGGTCGCAAGTTGGAGGTTGTCCAGCGTTTTCTTCACGTCAGCTATCACGTTGTCAACCCGTTTGTTCACTTGGTTGATTCGGGTTTCAGCTTCCGACAGGCGGTTGTCATGTTGAGCAACCCTATCCTTCACCTCCCTTATCTCTTTCACGAATGGAGCGTGAAGGTCCTTCATGAGGAACATCTGCTCACCCATACCGCGCTGCAGCTCCTCCTGTCGGCGGGCCAGTTCTTCTCGTCGCCGTGCTTGTTCCTCCTGTCGGCGGGCCTGCTCCTGCAGCATCGTCATCAGAGCACCTAAGTCAGGTCCTGCAGATGCAGGAGCTGCTGACGGGCCGGCCTCCATGATCGGCAGCTGGACCTCTGACGTTTCACCACCAAGTCGTCTCTGGTCCGTCTCCTGTTGGCGTTGACTTCGGGTACGGATACCCTCCGTGTCGTCTTTAGGTAAAATTGGCATGATTTGATCCCACTTCTTACACCAATTGTTACGAGCTTGGGGTTCGAGACAATTAAAAACTACCAATTGACTTACCAAAATTGACACTTTACAGAACACTAATTACAACTTAAAACCACACTAATAATAAAACACAATTGTACTACTGATCATTCGCAGTTGTATCGCTTCGAAGTTTTCGCTTGTATCGCCAATTCAATACTAACTCGTTCGCGGTCTATACCGGCCTTATATAGGGCCTCAGGTTGTTTCCAGAACCTTCTACTGTAGAAACTTCTAAAATGTTCGAGTATCAAATCTATACTAAATATTACATTTATTTACATAACATAATATTTATTTATTATAGTTTATATATAACTAACTCGCCTGGCAGACGTTGTTCTGCCCTTTCCAACGATCCTTCCTATAAAATCCTTAAATTCGCAATAAAAAATGTTAAGGGTCATTTATCGGGATAAAAACTATCCTATCTCTGAAGTTGAACCAAAATGCACACAGTATGCAAAATTTTAATTTAAAATTGTATATTAAATTAAATTATATTGAATTCCTAAAGCTAATAGAGTAAAAGGGAGTATTAACAGCATTAATATTTTAAAATCTATACTTATATTATAAAGAGAGAGTGCGATTTTCAAGAGTTTGTATGTATGTGGAGGGTAATCTCCGGAGATTAGACCACTACACTTATTTCAAAATTTCTTTAAAATTTTGAAAGGTACATTATTCCACATGGACATAGGCTATATTATGTATATATCTCTATATATAAAAATTACGTGTTACATTGTTTGTCCGCGATGAACTCCCTAAACTATTAAACTGATTGCAATGAAATTTTGCACATTGTATGCAGTTTTTATCCCTATAAGTGACCCTCAATATTTTTTATTACGAATTTAAGAATATTTTAGGGAATGCAGGGTCGTCGGAGAGGGCAGAACAACGTCTGCCTGGTCAGCTAGTATATATATAGAACGGCTAAGAGTTGTGATGATATTTGTCAACTAAGTCGGAAAAAGTCGTGCCTCTTATGAGCTTTCATAGCGTACGCTGCATTAATAGGTAAAGTTGCATAAAAATGATGTATAACTGAATTGTTCCTTTTAAAAAGTTCTAAAAAGAAGTCCGCGACAGCATGTCTATCTACTAAGGATAACTCACAATAACTGTTACGGCCTACAGCTGCCCCTGTAAAGGTCGAATATTCCGGGGCCCATGAGCGGAAGATTCCACGAGCAGCCGCAGGTCGGGCCCAAATGGCCACATGGAAGAATGTCCTATCATACTAAACTATATGGGAGAATGCAAGGAAAATATAGTACGTACCTGTTTCCGACTCTAAGATCGCCCCAAGGCTCCGTCAGGCCGTAAGTGGGTGTAAGGTGAATGGCAAGTAGTGTTTAGTGATGTGTATATGTCTGAGACCTGGACCAGCTTAGGAGACCAGCAGTGGCCGAGTTCTATGCTGCCCCACATTGCTGCATCGCTCCAGCAGGCTCGACCGCTGGATCATTTCTTTCTTCATTGTCACTATTTCAGTCTATCAGCTTCATTGTACATTTAACTAACTTAAACTCGCCTAATTCCACATTCAACGTAGAATCGAACACGTGATACCCGACACAGTATGGACAGTAGTTCAAAGTTCGACATTAAATGTCCCGGATTCACTTATCACAAAATTATAAATAGGGAACTAACGCGATCTCTTCATGAGTCACAAGGTTCAGCGTTAAAGACAACTAAGTTCCTTCGTTCGATACCAAAACACCACGCTGCGATAAGAATTCAAAATACGCCTCGTTGACACGTAAAACTAACAAACCAGCCAACACACAAAAAAGGGCACTTAACGCGACGGCACAATTATAATGATTTCCAGACAATCAACCGGGAGACGCTCTCGAACAAGGAATGCGTGGTTCGAATCTTAGACCGTATATCTAATCGACGCGCGCGTGCGAAATTCCGCATCACCCGAGCAAATTAAATATTGCAAAATTCACATATCCACGTAGCGAAGTAACACGCACTAAATCTAACCATCTGGACCCTACCGGTCGCGTGAACTTCTGCCGCGATAACCGAGATACGCGGATTCACCGCATCGCGGCCAGCGAGCTACTGTCTTCGCCCCCGCGTCGAGCCACTGCAAGCTGCACACGGCCGCCCCACCTGGCGGCGTTTACCTTACCTACATACAATCGGGTGACGCGCCAGCTCGAAGGTGATTGGATGGCGTTCAAAATGACCAATTTTGGGCATAAACAATAACAATTTTTATATAAAAACTCTCTTACGATAGTATAGTTATGACGACGGTCGGCGCGGCAAAGAGGGGAGGAGCTGCGGTGTGCGGAGGGGGAAATAACGTGTCAAAGTAAGGAACCTAAACTGACAGACACGTGAAAAATAAATCGACCACTATTTTTTAACTCAATTTTTTATACGATTATCTTCAAATTCTCCTACTGATGATATAAATGCATGTTGCAATGGGG